ACACTAAGCTCATTCTTATTGGTTAAAGTGCCAGTGAAAGCAGACGTATAACACCTTCCTGTTACAGATCAAAGCACGTGGAAACAATTCATCCAAAAAAGAATAAAGTAAAAAAGAAAACCATCAAAGAATAAAAAAAATCAGCCAATCACAGCAAATAACTGGTTCCTAAGGGGGTTGTAAAGGTCAAATTTTCAAATTGGATTGGAAATTTTACCTCGGGAACATGCCAAGGAGAGGCGATCTTGATGTAATTGGAACTGCTTGTAAATCCCAATCGGTTTCCATAGAAGGATGATAAACTTGGCACCGTCTAAGTCGATTTGCAGGGTGGATAGAGGACAATGACGAAGATAAAAACAGGATATAAAGCTGAGAGAGGTGGTGAGAGAAGAGACATATATAAAAACGAGATATAAAGCTGAGAGAGGCGCTGACAGAAGAGCAATTCTACATAATGGAGTGGTGGTACGCACACTAAGCTCATTCTTATTGGTTAAAGTGACGGTGAAAGAAGACGTTAACACCTTCATGTTACAGATCAAAGCATATGGAAACTATTCATCCAAAAAAGAATAAAGTATAAAAGAAAACCATCAAAGAGAAAAAAATCATCCAATCACAACAATGAACTGTTTCCCAAGGGGTTATATATATATATATATATATATATATATATATATATAATATATATATATATATATATATATATATATATAACGAGAGTAAAAAGTAAACCATATCAAAAAAAATATTTTCAGTTTTAAAGCAATTAGTTTTCGTATACTTTAATGATAACTAGTATAAACCCCTTGAGGTCATTAGCACATATTTGAATAAATTTAGCAAAATCAGTGGAGGTTTGATTGAAATTTTTAAATGTCATGATGCTTTAAATGAGTTTAATCAATAATAATAAGGTTTAAATGCAACAAACTATAAAACATATTTTTATTTATTTGTTCATTTTACAAAGTGAACATCAGAGGATAAAGGAAAAGTCAAAATTGAAAGAATGACGAAATTTGTAGAACATGTGTAGTAAGGGGCCCAAAGTGTAACATTAGCAAAAATAATGTGGCAAAAACCTAAAAGTACCAAACTTAAAGGAAAAAAATTATAAAACATATGTAATAAGGGACCCAAAGTGTAACATTAGCAAAAATGATGTAGTAAAAATCCAAAGACACCAAACTAAGATATTACTAAAGGTCCAAAGCATTAAAAGTGTAACATTTTCAAAGATTTGTGGAAAATGTCTAAATGACCTAAAAAGTACTATTTCTATGGTATTGTTTGGTTCGCAGGATGTTTCTAAAGGAATTGAAATTGGTATTCAAAAAAGAACATTTCAAGAATTTGAATCTAATTCCATATACTGTTTGGTTTGCAGGAAATGTGGTTGGAACTAAGTCCATATTTTGCATCATTGCCATAAAAAAGAATTGGAATCCATGTAAAATGACGTAACTATTTTTTTATCTGTTTTGCTTAGGTTTACTTTGATTTCTATCTAACATGTAAATATATGCTATATAAACTATAAAATAGTAAAATTTCATTTTATTGATTGAGCGTTCATGTCGGTGGCGGTGGTAAGTGGTGGTGGTGGTGATTGATTGTGGAGGTGATGGTGGTGGTGGTGGTGGAGGAGGATAGGGTGTGGTGGTGGGTGGTTGTGGCAGTGACAGTGGTGTTGGCAGTGGTAGGTGATGGTGACAATGGAGGGAGGTGGATGGTGGTGGAGGTGGCGGTGGTGGTTGTGGGTGATAGGGGTGGCGGTGGTAGTATGTCGATGGTGGTGGTGGTGGCGGCAGTAGGTGGTAGCGATACTGGTAGGTGATGGTGGAGGTGACGGTGGCGGCAGGTGGGTGGTGGTAGCAATGTCAGTGACATTAGCGGTGGTATGTGGTGCTCGATCGTGGTGGTAGTGGTGGTGTCGGTTGTAGGTGGTGGTGATGGCAGTGTTAATAATTATAAATGGTGGATGGTGATGGGTAGTGGTGGCGGTGGTGAAGGGTGATGATAGGTGATGGTGGTAGAGGTTATGTTATAAAATAAAACAATGGTAATAAGGTAAAATGTGATTTTCCTTTATAGAGGAGAATTAATTTCATCATTTTCTTAATAGAAAATGTTTACCTTATTTTATAAAAAGTTTTCTCATTTAAGATTTCAATTCCATCATATAAAATTGGACAAAACACTAGATTATGGTTGAATTGGAATCATTTCCCCCCGAATTTTATTATATTACAGCGAACCAAACACACTTTAATATATATATATATATATATATATATATATATATATATATATACTATCTTATAAAACAAATCCCAATATTTCTAAAAATAGATTGAATAAAATAATAATATTTTTTTTAAGACGTCCAAATCATTAAGCTAATTGCACAACTAATCAGTAATAAAATAATATTAAAATTTAAACAAACTCCAATAAGTCTTCTCTTCC